GAGTCAACCAATCTTTCTTTTTAAAGGTCTGTGTGCCTTAGATGCCCAACTAGCAGGCATATTGCATATTGCTTTTAATGCAGGACGCTCACAGTAAAATAACCGCTTTGTTTTTATTCGATGCACTTTGTACATTTTTCCACTTCCTTCTGGCTTAATTTTTCAGAAATTCCAGACTCCCCCACTCAATTAAAAAAAATCCCTCCTACTCTCCACTATTTAAATGTCATAAAGTTCAGAGGGAGGACATTTTTCCTTCTAGGAATTCCTCATGCAAACACATTAGATGCTCATTCCTTCTTTAGGTCTCTTGGGAGGTCAAAGCTTCTGTTTATTCAGTACTCCCAAAAATGTCAAAGGTGGTATTGTAAGGAGACACCACACTTAGAAGACATCAAAGCAAGCAGATGGGGTTCTTGTGATTACCAGAAAAGCACTTCCTTCTCTTTACCCCTTATGCTTCTTGAGTGGATAGGCCTAGGAAAATCATGGCTAACTGCAAACACTTCTGACAGGCTGTTTCCTCTTTAAAAATGTTAATAACAAATTATATACAATTAAGAATGAGCTACAGAAGATGTTCTGGGTAACAAAAATTATCATAACTGTATTAAACTGCACACACAAATAAACTAATGGGCTCCAGTGTAGGCACCAATTGACCAAATGGTTATTTAGTCCTTTGTTTACCATCCACCTGCTTATGTAATTGCTGCCATTTGATGTTTTCTCTGTTGCCCAAAGCCTCTCATCATTCTGACAACCTTCAATAAACACATTACAGATCTGGTGTGGTACTGCATCAGAATTACTTATTCTTCTTAAGGGTGCTTGTTTTCAATACAACCAAACATACATGCAGAAAGGTATACATATCTTAAATTTATATTTTAATTAACAGTAAAAAGTTGCATATATAAGCCAATTCATGAAAAAGTACATATACCCTCCATTAATTTTGAAGAAAAGATTTTTACCAAGAAAGAATTTCAAACTAGTATCAATATCACTTTAAAACTAACTTGGCACGTATATGTGTGTTGAACCATGGTGATAAAATGCTCAAGTCCTAACATAGGAGACATATTTTCTGATGTGAGATTCCCCTTCCTATGCTATGAATATATCTTATTACCATTGGTTAATAAAGAAGCTGTTTTGGCCTATGGCAGGGGAGAATAGAGCTAGGTAGGAAAACTAAACTAAATGCAGGGAGAAAGAAGATGAAGTCAGGGAGATGTCCTGTAGCTGCCGAAGGAGAGAGAGATGCAAGCCAGCTGCTGAAAAAACAAGACATGTAGAAAATGAGATAACACCAGGTCACATGGAAATACATAGACTAATATAAATTTATTGTAAGAGCTGGCTAGAAATACGCCTGAGCCATAGGCCAAACAGTATTGTACTTAATAAAGTTTTATATGATTATTCAGGTCTAGGTGGCCGGTAAACAAAAAGCAGCCTCTGTTTACAATTTCCAATTATATTAGATCTGAAATTCTACACTAGAAAAGCTTACTTACAAGACAACAGACAGAGCAATTTGGGGGGATAGTTTAAACTTGACAATATTAGGATTTGGCCACAAAATAAGTTATTAGCTATTAATTTCCTAAAAAGAAATTACGGAAATGAAAGAGATGATGTCTTTGTTCAAAATAGTTCTCACAAAGAAGCAAAATGTGTTAGTTCCAAGTCAAGAGTCTCCATGTACACATGTAAGTCTAATTCAGTGGTTTGGATAACACTGAAGTTGAATTTCCTCTGGCATCCATTGTACTTCCTGTGGCAGTTGCTGTCAAAAGCTGACCTTGGTCATGGCCTTCAGTCAGCTTCCCTTGATCTCTGCTCTTCACGCTCCAAATGTATTTTCAAAGAATTCATCTCATTCTCAGATGTCGTTCATCTGACCCTTCCATCTATCGCTATTAGCTGGAGCACAAGCCAAGACTCACAACACTCTCTGCAACATTCTGAAGGGCCTTCCAAAAAAAAATAAACACTATTAACTTAGAATTATTATATAATCCCTAGCGTCCCTCCAATATAACAGAGGACAGCTTGCGGCAGCAGAGAGACTGTACTATTTCCCCACGCTCCCATTTTCCCCTTGGACAAACAGGCTTTGAGAGCATGGAGAAACAGAAACACAGAAGTCGTAGAAGCTGAATCAATACAAGCCTATGATGAGCACATACCATGTAGGCCCGTCCTGAGGTTAGAGGTCCCTTAAGAGTGCAGTGTCACCACGGGTCCCATTGAGTGTGAGGGCTAGCTCAAAGAGCCCAACCTTTCCTGCTTCCCTCCAAGACAGGTGATGGGAAGGAAGCAGAGAGCATGCCTTCCTGCCAAAATCACCGGGCAGCACTGCCTGCCACGATGTGGGGGATCCCTTGAAATGTCTTGGCAAGAAGTGGTTCTGGAGTGTTGGCCAAGGTGCTGAAGCCAGGAAGGCACCTGCACCAGTGAAGCGGCCCTGGCCCTTCTCACTGCCCTGAAGGACACTGTGCTCATTCATTTTGACAAAATCTCATTAGGATTTCAAATGCAAGATAAACTTGGGGAAAGGGATCTGTGTGTGTGTGCGTGTGTGTGTGTGTGTCTAGGACACATATTATTTATGGAAATTCCATTGTCACAGAAACATTATGAGAACTTAAAAAGAAAATCACAGGTTAAAAGATGCCATGCTGCTGAAGATATTTGGACGCCATCACTGCTAAACTTCTGTCATATTATTGCTAAGATTTCCTAAAATAAACTAACTGCAAAGAATAACAAAGGCACAACCCCGAGCAACCTTTTAAAAAAAGTAGTTTTCAACCTTCCTATTAAATGCTAAATTAAATATTAAAATATTGCCACCCTTTAATACAGTTCCTCATGTTGTTGGGGCCCCCAGTCATAAAATTATTTTCCTTGCTACTTCATAACTGCCATTTTGCTGCTGTGATGACCGTAACGTAAACATTTGTGTTTTCTGATGGTCTTAGGCAACCCCTGTGGAAGAGTCATTCAAACCCCCAAAGGGGTCGCGAACTAAAGTTTAAGAACCAATGCTTTAAAAGTAAAAATGACTGGTGTGTGTGTGTGTGTGTGTGTGTGTGTGTGTGTGTGTGTGTGTGTGTGATTTTCTTACTTCTCAGAATGGACCGTTTTTGACAGTTTCTGTTCTTCCCTAAAACTGTGCATGCTGATATCAAAACCACAGACTGGCACTGTCAAGGGATTGGCTAACAGTCTGTGGTAGCTGCAGATTGCAGCCAGTGGCGAGAGAAAGAAGGGAAATAGAAGACAGCCTGGCCACCAGTTCTTTTCACACCCCAGGCTTTCCCCCACCCCCATCCTTTGGGCATCTGATGCTCTGGTCTCTGCCAGGCAATTTGCTTCCGCTCTGTTCAACTTCCCGACCTCTGGCTTTAGAGAAGGGTTCTGGCTGTGGGAACTGGCTCTGACCAGCTTTGGCTCCCTCCTCTTTGGTGACTGGCAAAAGAAACACTTTCTCTTTGACACTCTTAAAAAGAGCTGTTTAATTCCTAATGGTATTTACTGGCAAAAAGGAAAATGAAACCCACAACGAGGATTCAGGTCCAACAAAGTCAGGCCAAGAGCTCCATGGTAGAGCCCCACTCTTGCTAGAAGGCTGCTCCTACTGCTTCCGTTTTCCACCACCATTGATGTGCGCTCCCGGCTTGCTACTTCCATCCTATAGTGTGACACCTACTGGAATTTATGAATATCTGGAGATGCATGGCTATGATTTGGGCATCTGATGTTGGTTGCTTGCCCTAGGGACTTCCCGCGGAAATCACCCAACACTTAGAAGACATTTAGACAAGGAAGTAACCAGTGGAGCCTTCTGGAGGGAGAACCCCATGAAACCGCTTCAAAAAAACACCAGGAGCCACCGGCTACTTAATAACCCACGTCCCCTCCATCCTGTCTCCCCAGCTCTTGCTCCAACAGTATAAAGTAGCTTGTGGGGTTTCGGCCTGTGGAGCCAGGGCTGTGGGAACTGCATTCGTTTTGGCGCTAGATATATGGTGGGGGCTGCAGTTTAGTCCAGCTGAGGAGCTCACTCTGCATCTTTCCCAGGTTCCACAGGGATGATAGGGGCGCGCGGACTTGTGGATCTACAGGTTCCATCCATGTAGATCTTCAATACCACCCCTGTACCGCCCCCCCCCCCAGTCTCAGGTCCCTGTCACCCTTGTCACCTTGAGTCAGTGTGGATGCATTCCCTCCTCCTCCACCCTCCTTAAAATGTGGGCACATCCTCTCCCACGCAGCTGCTCATCTAAGCGTCTCATGTCCCTTAAAGTCCCCAAATGCGCCTCTGGTCCTTAATTCTTTGGTGACATTGCCTGGCGGAGGTGACTCCTGGGTTGCTCTAAGAGGTGGCGAGGGAGAGAGTGCGGGGGGGAGGGGGTGGAGGACCCGCTAGCTCCAAGCTGGGACTCACAGGGCTGGAGGCCTGCCTGGGATCCCCTGGCAAGCCCTGCTGTGGCGCGAAGGACGCGCGGCACTCACCCGTTGCAGCTGCCGGTTGCTGACGGCCACCGCGGCGGCGGACGCGGCGCTGTGTCGGAGCTCAGCCGCCTGCCCGGGTCTCAGCAGGCTCCGGGTGAACCTGCGGGTCCGCTCGCCGGCCATGGCGGGCCGTGCTGCTGTCACCTCGGGCCCGGAGAGAGTGTGTCCCGCCGGTCCCCTGGCCGCGCCAGCCTGTTCTACCCACCCGCCGATCAGGAAGCGGAACTCGGAGCCTTTCCCCCCCTCTTCCCCGCTCAACTCACAAGAGGCGGGTTTTTCTCGCGCGCACCCCCACTCTGCCCACCCCCTTCGCTCCCGCTCGAGCTCCGTGGCGACTTTGCAAACTCTGCGCGCTCTAGCCGCGGGGCCAACTCGGCCCGGCTAAGGCGCATCTGCAGCGAGAGCCGCGGGACGCGCGTGGGGTGGCTCCACCCGCGCCACCCACCCAGGACTCTGTACTGACCCCGGGATGAGGCTGCTGGCTCCGGGAGGGACCTGCCCACCGCCCTACTCTTAATAATGATGCGCTTGGAGGATTGGGGATCTGGTGTTTTGGAGGGCAGATCTGCACTCTGAGGCTAGGAAATGGACAAGGGTGGAACTCAGGTCCCCGTGCACCTTTGGAGGTGGGTTAGAGGTTTATTAGGGATCCGTCTGGTGCTTTGAAGTCTTTCTGGACCCAGAGTCCTTGCTTGGTCTTGGGACAGTCTGTATTAATTCACACCTGCCACCACGTTTCCCTTCTATACCAGATATACTGCTCTGGAAATGAGACTGGAGAGGGTGATTTACCAAGAGACGCCTAACTTTGCACGCTAATTTGAATTAAAATCTAGTGTGTATCTAAGGAATGTAAGGGATTTCAGGAGGGAATTAGGATGAGTAAGAACTGCCTCGACAGGTACCTCGGTAGAGTGTGTCCAGCGTAGTGGGTGCATTTTAGTTTATGTTTCAGCCTTCTTAACAAATGCCCGCTTATCCTGACTCGAGCTATCTGATTAAAGGATTCTACGTTTCTGATCTGGAGTCACATGCAGGGTGATTCTCTGCCCAGTGTGGGTGGGTGAGAAAGAATGGCTCCTGGGAGAGCTGATGGGCCCTCTGGATTATAAAAATGTTTTTGTTGTTGTTGTTTTTGTTTGTTTGGTTTGGTTTTTGTGGATCAGAGTCCTCTGTATTTTTTAAAGTCATTATTATTATTATTATTAGCTTATGGTGTGGCTCATAATTGTCATGTAGTTAGCAGGCTGACAGTCTCCCTTTGAGTCAAGCCTGGGCTACACACGGTTTGACTCTGTCTTAACATTTGACAAACTGCTCACAACTATTTCCCCTAGTTTTAGAATACCGCCTGGCCGGTAGTAGGCACTGAATAACTCACGGTTATGAGTGATTCTCAAAGGCTCAGAAAGTCTGGTGCAGTGGCAAAGGCTATAGAAACAGAACATACATCCCTGAGTATCTTGGGCACAGCAACAATTCAGGTTTGAACTTACTTGGCTCTGTTGAAATATTCTGGCGAAAAGCACTGTAAGGAGGACAGGTTTGTTTTGCTTATACTTCCTGGTCCTGTTACCTAAGGCAATTCGGACAGGAACCCAAAGCAGAAACTTGGGAGCAGGAATCTAGATCAGACACCACAGTGAGTATGGCTCATTAGGTAGCTTGCTTTCAGCTCCCTTTATCTAACTGAGTCAACGGCCATCTGCTTAGTGATAGTGCTACCCACGCTGGACGGGGCCTGCCCACATTAATCATTAATCAAGACAATCTCTCACAGATAAGGCTACAGAGCAATCTGATAGCGGCAATTCAACTGAGATTCCTTCTTTCCAGGTAACTCTAGCTTGTGTCAAGTCGAATGTAAAAGTTGAGTTGGACAATACACCGAATAGCCCATGCAACCCAGTGTTCAGCTGCATCACGTGTCAGAAGATCACTAGTAGTTTCACTGGCCCTCTCCAGCTTTGGGAGGCCACCACAAGCCGTCCACTGGTATGGAAGGATTTGTGAACAAGCGGCTGCTCCACCCATGTCCCTATGATGTTGATGGCATTAATCAACAGAAAAGACAGGTGCATGCAGCGGTGACAGCAGACACCAGCCATGGGCATTACATGTAGGCACAGCATCTCACCAGATATCTCACCAGATTTCTATAGCAACGTCCCAGCTGGAGTCTCATAGGCATCAGTCACATAGGCTTTAGTAAAGGTGCCTTCTGCATCTGGGGGAAAGGAGACAGAGAGAATGGATTGTCCCTCGGTGGATGCACACACCTTGCAGTGAAGACACACCCATTCTCTGCTGGGGAAGACTGCTTTTAGGCTTACTGACCGGGGCTCTCTGAGTCTTGCTGGTCCACTCTTTCTCTGTTCTTGGAGGCTGCTTGTTTGTTTCCCGGCTGCCCAGTGTCCTGAAATAATCACAGAGAAATATATTAAATTGTTTGGCCAATAGCTTAAGCATATTGCTAGCTGGCTCTTACATCTAGAATTAACCCATTAACATTATTTTATATTTTACCATAAGGCTCATGGTCTACTAGCAAGGTCCTAGCTGGCAACTCGTGTCTTTCCCTTCTGGCAGCTGCATGGTGTCTTTCGACTCCACCTTCTTTCTCCCAGCATTCAGTTTAGTTTCCCCTACCTAGCTCAACTCTGCCCTATCACAGGCCAAGCTAGCGTCTTTATTCATTAATGAATCAAAGTAACACATATAAGAAAGACTTCCCACACCATTTCACAGTTTTCTGAAAAGATTTGGTTGTGATGCTTTGTAAAGACAAATCTATAGGTTAAGTTTTGGATCATATTTCTGCCTTGAACTTTATCTTTTTCCTATCATGTTTCTTTAAAAAAAGAAAAGAAAAGGAAAGGGAAAAACACATCACTTGGCTTCAGTCTGCATTTTACATCCTAACTTTTTTCCTGTCACTAATTTATTATTATTTTATCGTATGTTTGTGGGTGTTTTGCCCACATGTTATATGTATGTATATATGTATGTAATACATGTGTCCCTGGTGCCCTTGGAGTCCAGAAGCTGGAGTCAGATATCCTGGACTAGAGTTACAGATGGTTGTTTGGTGCCATGTGGGTGATAAGAAACATACTCTGTCCCTTGAAGGATAAGTCAGTGCTCTCAAGGGGTGAACCATCTCTCCTGTCCCCTCCCCAACCCCTTTTATTTTTAAAAATACCATTGTAGGGGCATAATCATTATGCTTTTATATCTTTCAAATAAGTGAATTTTTAAAGACTTAAGAGACTGTATGTGATGGTCAGTCTTGATTGTGAGTTTGATGGGATTTGGAATCACCATGGGAACAAATCTCTAGGCTTGTCTGTGAGGAGCAATATTCACTTTGTGCTTAAGGGTCTCAGACTAAATGGAAGAGTCAAAAATAAGCTGAGCTCGGGCATCCATCTCTCTCTGCTCTCTTGATGTCAGACCCTATGTCACATGACTCAAGCTCCGACATGGCGTCCCCCGTGGTAATGGATGGTTCCCTTGAAATGCTAGCCAATGTCAGTTATTTCTTCAAGCAATTTGGTTGGGGTATTTTTTCATGCCAACAGGATAAGTAACTAATAGAATATAGAATAGTGGAAAAAAAAGCACATGGTGTATAGTTAATTCCCTGTGAATAAACCCAGATTCATAGATGACTGCATGGGTTGCTTCCATATTCTGTTAAGTCATAATTCTTGTCTTCACTTGAGCTGGTATAGATCAAGCTCTCCCATTAGATAGAAGTCCTCCCCCCACCCCCGCGCTGAACCCAGTCATGGTGTTTGAGCCGTACAAAGCTCAGGGAAGTTTCTGCTTCCAATAGCTCCATTTCAAACAAAGTAAATAATTTGTAAAATTTTACTGGAATTTTTTGGTAAGAGAAGAGGGCAAGATTTGGGAAATTAATCTTTTAAAACCCATGGCAATATTTTATATTCCAAGAAAATCTTCTCAGTAACAAAGTATCTTCCTTTCTTTGCACCCTATAGCATCTTATTTCTTTCCTCCTTTCCCCTCTCCTGTCCGTTTCCCTTTCTTCCTTCTTTCTTCCCTCCTTCCCTCCCTTTCCTTCCCCTATCATCCCCTTTCCTTTCCTTCTTTCCTTCATGCCCTTCCATATATTCTTCCTTATTATCTGAAGGCCTCACTGTCTTTCTTAAAGTTCAGAAAGCTCTTATTGCCTGCTATGATATAGACCAAAGCTCTATAAATTAGAAAAATATAATTATCAGTAATTTTCAGCCAGGCGGTGGTGGCACACACCTTTAATCCCAGCATTTGGGAGGCAGAGGCAGACAGATCTCTGTGAGTTCAGGGCAACCTGGTCTACACCAGCTAGTTCCAGGAGGGGCTTCAAAGCTACAGAGAAACATGGTCTCAAAAAAGAAAATAATTTTCTCTTGTCATTTTACACGACTTGGTTTAAGGCTAATATTGCTAGTCACGTGAATAACAAATGAACGCAAGGTAATTTTTTAAATCATAGTAATAACTATAGAAATGAAAACTGTACTACATTTCCCTCATACTATGGTTACATAGCTGAACAAGCTGGGGATTGGGTAGTAATCCATGGCGTCTGCTTCAGCTCCTGCCTCCAGGTTCCTGTTTGAGCTCCTGTCCCAGCCTCCATCAATGAGGGAGTGTAGCCTGCAAGCTTAAAAGTGCCCATCCATCCTCAGATGGCTTATAGTCATGGTCTTCATCAGACTCCTCAACCACATTAGAAAATCCCTCCCCCCACACATAAAAGAAAGCTGAGGGGGAGTTTAGCAGTATGGCTCTTCAAGTAGAGCACTATGTATGATAGGTATGCAAGTGTCAATTCGAATAATTTTATGATATTATATAAAGACTTTACTCCAACCCCCCTATTAAAGGGAAAGTTCATATTTTCTAATTGGCAGTGTGTGTGTGTGTGTGTGTGTGTGTGTGTGTGTGTGTGTGTGGGCACATGGGTAGGAGGAGGATCCAAAGAAGCAGGCCACTTCCCTTGAAAATTATCCAAAGGTATGTTAGATAAATTAATAGAATTTTATTTGGTTAGTAAAAGTTTACGGCTAACACAGCAGTAATAAAATCATTGATCAGAATTGTAAACCAGGTGGAAAAAATTACTTTGAAGCATGCACTTCTTGCTTTTCAAATACTAAGAAAAACCATGTAATTGAATTTATGGTGTTTTGAAATTACTCTTGTTAACTGGATTCTATTTCATAGTGTACTATCCCCCCACTTTGCCTAGGAAATAAGAAAACGATAAGAAAATGTTGTGGGATAATCTTTTTGTACATTGTGAAGATGTGTTTCTGCCTAAGATGTCTTCTGACTAGGTTTGATAAAGAGCTGAGTGGCCAATGGCTAGCCAGGAGAGGATAGACTGAGACTTCTGGGTAGAGAGAGGAATTTGGGAAGCATCCGAGGTGCTTGAGATTAAGCCAGTGAGACTCAGAGGGAGTCAGACACACAGTGTGGAGGAGAGATAACCAGCCACCTGGAAGAATATAGATTAATATAAATGGGCTAATTTAAGTTATAAGAGCTAGTTGGGGACAAGGCTAAGCTAAGCCAACAGTCCATAATTAATACGTCTCTGTGTTATTATTTGGGA